CAGTTAAAATAGTTTAATGTATAAATACTGAACACTCTATTTAACTTATTATATAAGAAAGGACTTGGGAAATTAGAGAATCTATGTGAAAAAAAAAAGTATTTTGAATCATGTGTAGAGATGCAGACTATATCTTTCCGTCTTTTGTTAGTGATATCAGAGCAAAAAGGTGAAATGGTGTGTTGTTTTAATATGGTGTGCATAATGAAAGTACGTACTGTACGTAATGAAATGTAAAGTACTTAGGTAACTGATATCTGCACGAAAGGAGATGTTTCTTTTTGGGCCCGGTCTATGTACGTACACGTTCCTAAAAAATAAGATAAATAATAGGAATTCCCAGAACAATAGTAATAATTAGTTTCTTTACTTAATTTATTGGTACAATAAAGAATAATGCGGCGATTTTGCATTCAGTACATGAATCGATGCCTTTTTATTAAGTCTGTGATAATGTTAGTCATGGAAACAAAGAACGTTCAATAACAAAAAATAACACTAATGCATAAAAAATCGAAAGAAAAGTAAATCATACTCAAATAGTTTGAACAAAATATAGTAAGAAAAAAATATAGGATAATATTTTTTTTTATTTATCTATTAGGTAGAAGATTTTATTTTATGTTATACAAAAACAAAAATTTTATTTTGTTTATCGTAAGTCTTCTTCGTAAGTAATTTTTTACGCATGCAGTGGCAGCCTTTAAGTAGGCAGCACTAAGAATTGTTTTCTTCAATTCTTTCTCAGTTTATATTTAATTTGGTGTTTGTTTTGTTGACTGTCTTTAATAAATAAATGTTATTCGTGTAGGTACTTGGAAACATTTTGTTCAGTACTGTTTCTAATTGCATTTCTGAACTGTTACACACTTGATAAATGACTAACAGTGTCGTTAAGTTTCTTGACTTGATATATCGTCAAAACGATATAGATATAATTATGTTCGCCATCGTGGATTTTGAATATCATAATTAATTTGAAAATTCTCTGTACCGCAAAATAAATGTAAATATCTGTTTATATGTGATTGATTTCCGTTATTTGTATATTCTGTACAAGACCTAGCACATCCTTACAAATATGAAACATCTCATTTTAATCCGAGCTCTAAAAAAAATCTTTGCCAAAATAGGTTGAACTGGTTGAACATTAAAAAAAATATAAAATATTATATTACCAAAGAGGTTTCAAAGCTCAGTTCTCTTTACTCATTTCAAATTAGATTTGAATTAAGAATGCCTCATGACGTCACCTGCTCCTCTACAAGCCATTACCCAACCGACCACAGAGCTATTCATTTCCAATTTATAACTGTCTAGTGAACAACAAAAGGAATATTTTTAACAGAATCCCTGCTACTTTAATCACGGCCCTGATCAAATTTCCTCCAACAAAGTTTCAATGCGGAAGCGGATATTATTATGCTTTCCATCCATGTTTACCCGTAGTTCTGAGGAGCTCTAGACTTACAGTTGTATTATAGCGCTTCCATGATAAACGAGGTACCGTAATGCGTTTGTTTTGTGGATTCGGAATTAACGAATCGAGAACTTTTGAATAATAAAAGACTGAAAGAAGATTCTCCATCTATGAATATAATCGAGAGGTATTCCACCCATTTTTTTCCGTTGACGTAGTCTTCGGAATTTTGCCCGTAAGGACCTTATTTATGGGGATAAAAATCACCATCTCTTATCTATTAGACAAGTCCGTCCGTCCGTCCGTCTGTGGTGCTGTTTCAGCGGCCAAACCGTAAGAGATAGATGAAGAGAACATTTAAGTTATAAGTTAAGAATAGTCTGATAAGACTACAAACCGGATTTGAGTAACGTAGCACTTCCGGTTTTCGAGAAATCACGAATTTCAAACGAAACCACACAAAATCTCCGAAGTTCTCAATTAATTAAATACATTTTTTTTTTAAGTCAGGTTTTGGTGAACATTTGGTTCACTGGTTTGCTAGTTTTGTGTTAATCAAGTAAGCGGTTTAGTGTGCCTTTTGTATAAGTCGATGAACCGACTAACCCTTTTAATGTTAAATATATGATTAAACGATATGATTGGCCTCTTCATTTCTTTGTCTGTAGTAAATATTTTTTTGTTTTAGATCGGATGTAGTTACATATTGCTATTAAATAAGATTTAAGTGTCAAAATAAACAACACTTTAAGAAGATCTAGCTCTATCTATGCATTACAATATTTAAAAATCAACAGAAAATATTTGAATATATAGTAATTGGCACTCGAGGTATAATATTTGGCACCCATGATATCAATCTGGATAGTTTTAAATTCTATTATATTAACTTATATGTGTATATGAGATACTAAGGTATTAATTGAACTACATAATATGTCTTGTTTCTAAATAGGTAAATTTATTTTAATAATTTTCACATATAATGACTGATATCATGAGTGCCAATGATTGTACTTCGAGTGCAAATGACTATACATTAGAAACCTTTTCTGTCGATTTTAAATTAACTTAGTACATAATAATATTGAGCATTTTAAAGTTCTTTTATTTAGCCACTTAAACTCTACTTAATAGAATTGCGGAACTATATCTCATAGTTATCATCATCATCAACATAATTAGCCTATGAATGTACCCACTGCTGGGGCACAGGCCTTCCCTATGGATGGAATAGAGAGATTGGGCCATGACCCACCACGCGGGCCCAGAGCAGATTGGCGGGTGCTAACGACTGCCTTCCGAAGCAAGTAGGACTTGAGATAGATGTTTTTGGTCACCTATCCAATGACCGACCACTGCGAAAGTTGCTTAACTTCAACCATCGCAGCCGAACGCGCTAACCACCTGCGCCATCGAGCTCCTCGTATCTCATAGTAAACGAATAATGAATTCACTACAGACAAACAGTCATTGAAGATTTCCGCTTAAAGTGTCAATTATTAATAGTCTACCCTACCCTAATAGGGTCTTATCTTCCGATGGACTGTCATTAAGAAAGTTCCTCAAACTGATTCAGTAAAAAAAAAAACACTTCTGCCACCTATTTTAACATCAAAATAGACTTTACGAGCCCTCACTGTGAGGGTGTGTGGGGTGACAGGGGGGTGGGGTTAATCGGGTTACGTGTACGCGTGTTTACGTCGACGCGACTCACGCTTGACTTGATCTTTAGTTCAACGCGAATGAATTAGGCAACAAATTAATGTCACGCAGCTTTCGGTTGCTCAGAATCGAAAATGAGTTGAGGCTTGTGTTTCCAGTGAGCGTTATTGGTTAAAAAAAATACTCTTACGGCCGTGCTCAGAGTTAGGCCGTGCTCAGAGTTAGGCCGTGCTCAGAGTTAGTTAACAGTTATTTTTTTTAAGTCTGAATATAGTTATTGATGTCACTTTCTTGCTTGGACTATGCAGTAAGACAACACGTGAATTTAACTGACATGAAATTAGTTATGTTTTATTTATTTTTAAGCATTTAACTGCTAGATGTTTAAATCTAGCGAAGGGTGCGGGTTCGAGTCCCGTCCGCTGCCTGGTACGCGTGGATTTTTTTCTAGTTAAACTTTTCTTTAGATTTAAACATCTAGCAGTTAAATGCTTAAAAATAAATAAAACATAACTATAATTGCTATTTCTTCTTTCAAATGTTTAATACTTGAAAAAGTATTCATTTGACATTGTGGGTTACCTACAATGCGAAGAGATGGCGCTGCCTTGCAGCTTAAGGCTAGGAAAATTTCGACGCGGCCATTAGGGCCGTGGTAGCATAATTGGTCAGTGCATTCGCCCGGATTGAGAAAGGTGCGGGTTCGAGTCCCGTCCGCTGCCTGGTCCGCGTGGATTTTTATTTCTAGCAAAACTTTTCTTATATGACATGAAATTAATTTGACATCTCGATAGCGTTAAAATATAAGTCTTATTGGGGCATAAGCCTTCTTTGTTGATATGATCCGTCTACTGCCAAGTGGGCTTAGAGCAGATTGGCAGGTGTTATACATAAAATAGCTAATAAGAACCAACAACAGCTTAAGGTGCATATCAAATTTAATTTACGGACATCATTCTAATGGTCGAACTTTCTGTAAGCTACTTACCCCTAAGCAAACTCGGAAATACGCTTAACACGGTCGTACAAGTAGAACATAATTCTCGTAATTTTTATGTGATCATATTGTCAATTGTTTTTATTATAAGTTATGTTGTACTCAATTTTGTGTCTTACCTCGAGAATCTATAGGCAAAATTGTTCCATGATTTTTTTCCCTTTGATTATACTAATAACATTATTAGGTTATTTTTATATGGGTATATCGTTCTAACTTAAAATTATAATCATATATTTGTAGATTAGTTTATTTTAGTAGAAATTTTAATATAAACCACCATGACTTGCGTACAGATACTCGTTTTCACCATTTTTGTTAATTTTTAATACGAGGCGCTACAAATTGTCCTACCCACCTGATGTTAAGTGTAATTGGAATCCAGTCATGAAGAAAGGTGATACGGCAGAAAGTGATCCGCTCCAGCCATCCTCACCTTGCCAGCCTGAACCCAATAAAAAATCCCACCAAACCTAATAGTAGTCTTAATTTTACTGATTTTTTTCCCCAGATATGCGCTCCAAATTGAGTGGAAGATGCTTTGTGCCCCAACTCTTTTAAATATCATACCGGGATTCGAATACGCACTAAGGACCTCAGAGTAGGTGACACCTTAAAATCTGGTGTACACACGACTGTATCACAGATGTTGCCAATGATTGTATTCCTTATGCCAATAATTGTATAGGTGACCTCGCCGACGGCATATTTTTTTAATGTTCCTATAACATTAGGCATACGAGCAGACGGCTCACCTGATGGTAAGTGATCACCGTCGCCCATGGACACTTGCAACACCACCAAATGGGGTGCCGGCCTTTAAGGAAGGAGTACGCTCTTTTTTTGAAGGTTTTTGGGTCCTTTTAATTAGGTAAAACACACATTACATCATAACTTTAGATCGTTTCAAATCAAAGACTGATATGCATTATAGGTACTATTATCTAACGTTAAATAAATTCAATCTTACCGAACACCAAACTGTACACTACGGTGACACGTGCGACATTTGACACGGTGATTAGATTAATTTATTTTTTATCTCATTGACCGACGGGGATGACATGATGTTACACAAGCATCTCGCGATTGGTCGGCGCGATCGAAAGGTATGGATATCCCGGATTCAGTTATCGTGTAAACCGTAGACGTTTATACGGAAGCTATTTCAACGCGTCGCATCGCGCTCCTTACCCAGTTCTGTTCAAATCGATCCGTGCGGAGATCCACAATGAATTCGTCCGTCGAAAAGTGTCACATGTTCCACGAATCGGCGGTGGATTTGCTCACGTCTATAGATTTCTGTGAATCCACACTCAAGACGTCAATATTCTTCGTAGCGTTCAATCCGATATTTTGGAACATCATCTCCCGCTTGGAATATTACACCCATTTCTTGACGAAATTGACGAGGAACCCGAGAACCGGCTGTTACGTATTGGCTGTCACCATCTTCAGTTTGGGACTAGTGAGGAATTATTTCTTTGAGCAAGCTCTGTACAAGCAAGGGGTAACCGGAGTACTGCAAAACGAGGTTGCCAAAGTTTTGGGAGTGGCACTCATAATTATTGGACAAGTCCTGGTCCTTACATCTATGTACCAATTGGGCATTATTGGCACATACTGCGGTGATTACTTCGGAATTTTGATGAAGGAGAGAGTGAGCGCTTTCCCGTTCAATATTTGTGAGAATCCCATGTACAGAGGTTCAACGTTATCTTTTCTTGGGATCTCACTGTTGCAAGGGAAATCTGCGGGTTTGTTGATAACTTTCTTCGTTCACATGGTCTACGAAATAGCTTTGAAGTTCGAAGAGCCGTTCACCATGAAGATTTACAGGAATCCGAAGAAGGATTAGATTGTGATATAAGCAAGAATGATTTCCTGCCGAAATCACAATAGAGTTTTCAGAAAATGGTGCATAGAAAATAATATTTGAAAGTATTCGATGGCATGGGCTTTGAAAGAAAAAATCTGAAGGCACTTCTGCCATTACTTATGCACCGACTTTATTTAGTAAGTAGTAATGCCATTACAGTTTTATATAAATATCTATCTCTATATTATTATGTGTGAAGAATTTGTAATCTTATTCCTTTTCTCCGTTATTTAGTTTCATAATTAAATAATACCGAAAACCAGTTTGTACAAATTAAGCAATACAAGATATAAAATATCCTTAAATGGCTTTTGTTTTTTTTTCGAATTACCGAAGATTTATAACCGAATTTCGCAGCTTTTTTGATCTGAGAAGCCGCGTTGTTTCAAATAGTTAAATTTGACTAGTCAATGGTGTCGATTCTGGCGTGATTCTCTAAACTTAAAACTAAATTTAACATCAGTCTCTCTTTTTCATTCTGTATAGAGAATGACAAGGAAACACTGTTGTCAAATTTAAGTTTAGATTTAGAGAATCGTGCTAGAATCGACACCAATGTCACGTTAAATACATAGTAAAAGTGTCAAATTTTGATAAATGGTCATTTTTTTTCTGTAGTTTTTAAACTATGTGAATGAAATAACACGGCTATAATCGTCTTTAACGTTAAATGGAATCGAAAAGACTGCCTACTTATTTTGTACTATGTGGGACGAAATATACTGAAATTTGATTTAAGACAACAAGACATCAATCAAAAACTAATGTTAGTCATAGTTTTAACCTAATGTTGTCTCTGCCTTCTTTTTAGCAAGCAAAAGTGACAGCATCAGTTTTAGTCCAGGTTTAACTTTAGTCTACGTGTTGTAATAACGCGTTAAGTGTTTTTATATCCAACCGTAAGACGTACTAACGTGATTTTTTATTCAATTGCTATTGCATACAAAGTGACAGATCCGACTGTGAGTAAACTTTTGAAATAAATGAATGTCTCTGAGCGCGAAATAACCTAATCTCTTATAAACTTGCAATTTACTTTAAAATTATTGAATTTCACATAAACTTAACACAGTACCTACTAAACTCAATCAAACACACAAAAAATAATCTCCAAATTAAGATGTTCTTTTGTTAGGCTGAAGAAAGTTAAATTTATTATTCACTTAAAATCAATATATTATTATCTGTTATTGAATAAATACAACATAAGTATAAAGAACTTTGTATTGGCAGCCACAGATCAAAGTAAAAAAAAAACTCTATTTTCAATAAAAACTCTTCTTAGTTCGAGACTAAAATATAAATTAAAAAAAATATAAAAGAGTAGGCACTAAGGATGAGACAGGATTAAGTATCCATATCTTAAAGAAAACAAAAAAAAACAAACAACACGATAATCATGCTATTATTGTGAAACAGATTTACAAGAATTATAAGGATTTAAAATTTAATTAGACTTTAAGATTAATATTTTTTGCGTATTCCAAGCATAAAAGTTTCACTTTGGTAGATTATGAATGACTAGTGGCCCGCCCTCGCTTCGCTTCGGTATTTTATCCCCTTGGGGGTAGAAATGATCAAAATCCTTTCTTAGCGGATGCCTACGTCATAACATCTACCTGCATGCCAAATTTCAGCCCGATCCGTCCAGTGGTTTGGGCTGTGCGTTGATAGATCACTATGTCTGTCAGTCACCTTTGAGTTTTATATATATATATATATATATAGATAGATAAATTAATGAGTGAATTTGGAAATTTCAATTAAAACATTTCAACCATGAAACATCCCCACTTTAACATTTGCATCATTAATAGGATAATCCTTAATCTCATTAGCGCTAATTAGATGATTGTTATATCTCGAAGCAATAACAAGAGCGGCCGGCGGCGGCGCATGGTTACAGCAAAGGTCGAAAGGTCGTTGATAACGCGCTTGGGTGATGTTAGCCATGTTTTGATAATAATTTACTGCAGACAGAGTCCATTCGGATAAAGAATAATAAATTCATACACGCAATGTGTTAATCATCAACGAAATAGATAATGACAAAAGTTATGAACAAAGACACATTGAAATAGCGCAAGTGTATGTACTATTCGTTTTTGATGTTAAAGAAGCGTATGGCCCACCTGAAGGTATGTGGCCACCATAGCCTGTAGATGCTTCATCATCATCATCAGGAATAGCGGGATTGGGCCATGACCCAACACGCGGGCCCAGTGCGGATTGGCGGGAGCTAACGACTGCAGATGCTGCCGGGTCCAACGGCTTAACGTACTTTCTGAAGCACGGAGGAACTCGATAGATATATATTAAAGAGATATTTAGAGGTTTTTGGTCACCCATTTAACTTCAACGATAGTAGCCGAACGCGCTAGCCACCTGCCCCATCGAGTTCAAGTGGGATTCTTAATACCGCAATACATTCCTTAAAATAATCTTATAACGACAAATAAAAACCAAATTAAAGTTCAATATTTAATTGGGGCACTAACGAATATATTTCAGTGACTTCTGTTGTACCTTAAGGCAATTGCAGATTATTTGAATTACATGTTATATATGACTTTAATTATCTATCAAGTCATAGAGGAGCTCGATGGCGCTGGTGGTTAGAGCGTTCGGCTGCGATCGTTGAAGTTAAGCAACTTTCGCAGTGGTCGGTCATTGGACGGGTGACTAAAAATCTTCTATCTCGAGTTCCTCCGTGCTTCGGAAGGCACGTTAAGCCGTTGGTCCCGGCTGCCTCTGCAGTCGTTAGCACCCACCAATCCGCACTGGGCCCGCGTGGTGGGTCAAGGCCCAATCTCCCTATTCCATCCATAGGGAAGGCCTGTGCCCCAGCAGTGGGGACATTAATAGGCTGATGATGATGATGATGAAGGCTGTAAAAACGATACAATTGAAACGGAATCTCGGTGCCGATGCTTTTCCACCACTTAATTAGCTATCGTTACATCTACAGTCATTATTGCTCGCTCGCACAGATTGTTTTTATGCTATAATGCGCAAGCGGGGCGCTTCGTTGGTGCGGCGAGTGCGTGGGAGTGCCAATAGCATGCTAGATGTGCTAGGAGACAGGCTGGACTGCCCATATATTAACCACTGCTGTAGACTCCACATTGCACACTGTGACAGAGCGCTTTAATGACATTGTGTTATGTTTCTTTAGTTTTATAAGTTTTATTTAATTTTATTGACATATTATGTATTTTAAATGTTGCAATTCAATTTTGATTATTAGTGACTGTTCAGAAATAATTTTAATTTAATAAATCAATAATAATAAATAGTTAATTAATGTATTATGTATAATATGAGTCTTTGTTACTTGAAATAAATAAAATAAATAAATAAAAAAAATTAGCACCCACCAATCCGCACTGGGCCCGCGTGGTGGGTTATGGCACAATCTCCCTATTCCATCTATAGGGAAGGCTTATTGTGCCCCAGCAGTGGGGACATTAATGGGCTGACGATGATGATGGTGATGAATTAGCTATCAAACTATAACATGCTCGGTTTTCACACAACTTGACGCACATCCTTCGTCTATTTCAATCTTATTCTATGGGTATGAATAAATAAATAAATAAATATTTCCAGCACTCACACCATTTAGTCTAGCCCCAAAGTAAGCACTGTAAGGCTTGTGTTATGGGATGCTAGGGTAACGGATAGAATACATATACAGTACATATATGAGAATATTTAAATAGAAATAGATATTAAACATCCATGACTGGAGAACAAATGCTCGTATTCATCACACAAACATCTGCCCCCACCGGGATTTGAACCCGGGACCTCTCGAGTCGGCGACACCATGAAACCCGGCGTGCAAACCACTCGGCCACGGAGGTCGTCATACACCTTATACAATCCATCTTAGTCTAATTCTGCTGTCTTCCATCAAATATACTTATTATGTAAATTTATTACCAATGTACCGCGTAAACAAGTTTATTACCCACCTCAAGATATTGCACATATTGTGGAATGCACAACCTACTTCTCAAATTAACTATAAAATATTTTATTCTTGAATTATTAGGGGTTTAGGGTGGTAAGTATGTTTCATGCGTCATAGCTTACCCATATACGACATTCATAGGGCGAATGAGTAATGAAATGGAAATGAACCTACCTATTACAGATTATTCAAAAAAAAATATAAAAAAAATAAAAAAAAATTTTTTTTTTCTAAACCAATTTTTCCAAAATATTTTTACATCATCTTAAAGCTCTTCGAATTCCCGGACCAGTCGCGTTTTCAGCGAAAATGGGGGCTTACTGGAACGAACGAAAAAAACATTCTCAATGTTAAAAATTACATATTTCGTCTTGATCATACACTAATTAGTTATATAATGAATTAAATTTAAATTGTACATGTGTGCAGAAAGACTTCCTCCAGATTAGTCATTGACCTACCACGCGGGGTCAGTGTGAATTTTATTCATGGACATTAATTTCGATTATACTTGGTCCATAATAATGTTAATTTTAATCTATGTACATGGCAGAGACTCGTGAATCCAAACTAATTAATTATCGATATAATTTTTATTATTTTAAAGCATGTAACTGCTTGATGTTTAAATCTAAAGAAAATATAACTAGAAAAAAATCCACGCGGACCAGGCAGCAGACGGGACTCGAACACGCACCCTTCGCAATCCGGGCGAATGCACTGACCAATTATGCTACCGCGGCCCTCACGGACCGCGACGAAATTCTTCTAGCCATTCTTAAGCTGCAAGGCAGCGCCATCTCTTCGCATTAAAGGTAACTCACAATACATAATTAATTATCCATTAAACATAATCATTAAGATCTTATATATAGCTTAATTAATAATTCATAAGAATTACCTACCTTAATATCTAATTAATTTCATTTGGTAGTTACTAAGAAAATTATTTTGGGGCCAGCCTATGCTTAAGAAGCGGGCGAAGAAATCTAATATGATGATGATCATGTATATATGACCGGTGCATGCGTACCTACAACGATTTACAAGACTGCAGTGTCGACATTTTCCACAATACTGAGCGAGTATATAAGAGGTTGTTTGTGGAAAAAATGAAATTAGACCGTAACACAGACTAAATAATATTATAATTCAGTATACCTGTTTTTCATGATGGTGGATATATTTTTTTGTTTGTTTAATCTGGTCATTGTAGTTTATTTGTATTTATGTGAATGTTGTATTCACCTATTAAAAAGCATATCTTTAAGTATGGTATTTATATATTTTTTCAAATTGTAATGTAAAATTATATGTTGTTGGTGAATCTTTGTCAATAAAATAAATAAAAAAAAAACATTAAATGACAAAGTACTACACACTGATCACAACCATCAGTATCTTTGTACTGTCCTCACTGCTTTAGCAATGATTTTTCCAATGGATTGGTCCATAAACCACCACGCCATAAACAATCACGAACAGGGATGGGTGGGTGCCGACGACCACTGGCAAGGCATCCTGCGCAGCAGCAATTAACATACAAAAACGTCTTATATATTTTTCTTGCATGAAAAAAAAATGGGTGCGTGTACTTATGTAGGCGCGTGAGAAGTTATCCTTCTTTGGCATCGTTTAAAATTAGTTTTGAATTGCATGCAAATAATTAATTACAATAAATTAATAAAAAGTCTGGAAAAGGACACAGTCAATAAAGTTCAGTTTTAATTTGAAAAAATACATAAATAATCAAAATATTCAATTAAAATCGCTACTGAATATAATTTATTAGAACATATGTGATTTACACTTGTATGAAACTCAAACACGTATTCCGAATATACAAACTAGAAACATGTGGATAAATATTATAAACTAGCGGCCCGCCCTCGCTTCGCTTCGGTGTAGAGCTGAAGTGTAGACTACAGTTTTTGTTCTCAGGCTTGTATTATACACAATGACATTCATCTATGATTCTTCTTATACCTGCATGCAAAGTCTCAGCCCGATCGGTTTAAAATTGATAAAGTTTCATACAAACTTTCATTCCTTATTTTATCCCCTTGGGATTTTCTTTATATTTTTTTCCGTAAGAACCTTGTACAGAGTATTAGAAAACTACAAAAAAAAACAGCAACAACAAAAATATATTTGTGCATGCACTGTAGTCTGTAATAGTAGTTTATGCTGCTGTCATATAAGAAGGGGTGTCGAAACACGATTGTCTCTTTATCGATAATATGTTTACTCGAGCGTTTTAATACCTAAATTATATGAAGTTGCACACACTACTTTATCTTCACTCATAACAACAACACTTGAAATTGAACAAAGTAACAAAAAAAGGATTTTTGAAAACTTTTCTGAAATTCCGAAAACAAAAAACGATCGGCAGAAAATTGTATGGGTAGCGCGAGAAGTTAATTTCGAATTTCGAATGCGTGCGCCTCTTTTTTTACTTTCAGCCTTATATCATCGCCTAATAGGCTAGCTGACTCATGTCAAATTGTACAATACAAATGTTTATTTCTTATAATGTTTGGTATGAGGAACCTTAATACATCGTTTTCACTTCATAAAATTGGAAGATGGCTGTAGTAATTTAATTTGAAAAATGATTTTTTAGTCTATGATTTTTAAACACTCAAAACGCTGTCCAACATGATTGCGACGTCAACAAGTTAGTAAATGTGTTAGTAAACAACTAAACGTCATTGTCGTGTTACTGTGGTGTCTTTCGTCGGACTAAAATATATTTTTATATTTTTTTTAATTTAATTATATATTTAAAAACTCTTACATCTTGAATAAAATTTCCGTTTATTGGTTTTGTTGACTAAATTAATGCTGGAAGCCAGATTTTTGAAAGTAGAAACGACAAAACTCCTTGCCTGCGTACATTCATAACCTTAAAAATTGGATTTTCAAACTTTAAATATTATTTGTTTCTTAGGTTTTCACGCACATCAATCATTAAATAAAACTAGTTTTAACGGGTTAATGCACGAAATAAAATTAAATAATAAAATTTTCAAAAAAGAAAGAAAGAAAAGGCTGCGAAACGTCAATAAATAAATATCGTGCATTTAACCCGTTAAAACTAGTTTTAAATATTATTCAATGAGTACTCCCATTAAACTGACCTTTGCTAAAAAAAAAAGACAGATGGTAAAATTACAGGATTTAGCAAGTTTTAATATACGTCTAACGTTATAAAGTACGTCTTCATAAAACCATCTTTAATTTCGTAATCCGAATATTTCGACAAGAGTGTAGATAAAATTACATTCCAAATATGATTAAAGAGTATCTAGTCCATCGAAACTGCAGGGTGAACAAACAAAAAACATCCGCTTATTAGAGTAGCGGGAAGCCCCCAACTAACGCAGAGTTTTATCAGCTGTGAATTCTCTCTCATAAATATTCGATTGGACCGCGCCCCGGGCAGCTCTTTGTAATATTGAGATTCATAATTTGACCCGCAACTTACTTACTCTGAATTCGTGAAACACTAATAAGCCAATATAAAGTCTTGGACGATGATAACAATTAAACGGTTTTCGGATTATTGGTAGCTCCTACAGATTTCAGTTGGAAGTTGATGAATTTTTTTACACGACTATCAGAAAAAGTGTGTAACATGTTTGAAGTTCATGTAGGCAAGTGTGTATTTTTACGTGCGCTTAAGAAAGTTACAACAACACACAAAATCAAATGATTTTGTTACGTGTCAAAAGTCAAGACATTTTGTACGGAACTTGGAATAGCGCCACAACGGACATATATAAAAAATATATAAAATAATTAAAAAAAATCCATACAAAATTTCTTGACATAATTTGACGTGTATCGAGATCGGATTCGACTATTCGAATTCAATATTGGTTAGTGCTAAGGGTACTCGTACACAGATAAAAGAAAGTTGATTTCCCTTTGATTAAAATATCATTAATAATATCATTAAGGTCACCGCATCAATCAGTATTGTAGATGATAACGATCATAGAACACACGATATACCGACATTTTCATTTACTAATATTGCAATCAAATTCAATTTCAATAAATCGATCTTGCCAATGAGTTCAGGGAAAAAGACAATTAACAATAACATTGGACGTGATTATAATATCATCCAGCAACTTTGAATGGGATAAAATTAAGACAGTTCACCAAGCCCTAAAACTTGGAAGTTAATAAAAGACGATGGAAATAATGCTCTGAGTAGCACTCGAAATGCATGAACCTAAGTCGAGTTGTCGGTGTTTAGCTGTCAAACTTTTAAATTGACGCCCTATGTGATAGGCAGAAAGCGTAAATACTTACTATTAATAATATTACTTAATAAAATTTGACGACTTCCGTAGCCGAGTGGATAGTACGCCGGGTTTCATGGTGTCGCCGACTCGAGAGGACTCGGGTTCGAATTCTGGTGGGGGCAGATGTTTGTGTGATGAATGCGAGCATTTGTACTCCAGTCATGGATGTTTAATATGTATTTCTATAAAAATATACTTATTTATGTACTGTACATGTATTCTATCCGTTACCTTAGTATCCCATAACACAAGCCTTACAGTGCTTACTTTGGGGCTAGGCTAATTGGTGTGAGTGTTAGAAATATATATATAAAAAACGAATGTTTTTAAAAATGATTTTTTGGGGCACAGCAAATATTCTTGCCTTTACTTGATGTCTAAAGTAAATTTAGTTCAGCCACGAAAACAGCTGATGCAGCAATAGATGAGCAAAGGCACAATCATCTTTTATCCCATTCAGTATAAACTCTATAAGAGGGATAGAGGATTTGCCAATTAGAATTGGACCCAATTAAAGAACAAACCCCGACTTTAAAACCTTTATTTTGATCGTGTTGTAAATTAAGTGGTGAGTAAGTTTTCCTAGGGATCAGCTGGTAGACGATGACATTGTTTTCACAATCGACATTTGTAATAGGCCCTCCCCACGAACGATACTTACTAGAAGGAATAATCAATAATTCATATCTGTCTATCTGTAATTAACTCCTTATCCAGTTGCTATTGTGAAGTATCTTATTTTTTTGTCAAAATGACTTTGTTTTCTTGTAATAGAAATGTCCTGCCGCTTTTCGCTTCTGTCTCAGACCAATCGTAATTTTGAGTAGGAAGGCGTTCGATGCTACCCGCTC